GTAGGCAGGAGCAGCTCTTTGCCCTCGCGTCAGCGAGAAACCCCGTCTCTCTCCCGGCACTGCCCTGGGGCTGGTGCAAGCTTTCCCCTCCAGAAGCTGAGCCCCGAGAGCCTGTAGCCGGGGGACATGGGGAGGCCACCACCTCCATCCCTCACCGCAAGCAAACTCTTGCTCTGTTTCTTCCCACACCTCTGCAAGGAGCCAGCAAATGTTACGCGATGCTGAGCAGACGGCAGAGGGAGGTGGCTGGGAGCAGCCAGGAAAGGGCAGCCCTTTGGAGAGCTTCCCGCAGGGACAGCGGGTGAGCAAGAGAAGGAAAAAAAACAGCAGAGCTGGGTGACACAAAGCAAAGAGCACGAACACAAGGGGAAGGGACCCAGCCAAGCACCGATGACAGAGGGGTGGCAGGCGGGAGCCTTCTGCTGCTTTGGATTTCCAGAAAAAAGGGCAGCTCCCAGCCAGGTTTCTGTTGGGGACAGTGGGGCTACACCTGCCCTGATGCCAGGCAGAGGTGTGCTACAGCCTCGGGAGCTGTGTGATGCCCGGGGAGGGTTGGAGCGGCTTTATTTTGAAGGCAGCTGCTGCGGTGCTTGTGGGCAGAGGCATCGGGCTGGGGAGTCCAGCAGATTTGGCATCTCACCTTGTCCTTAGGTGACATTGAGCAGCGTGAACTCAAGGGCTCCAGCACAACCCGGGGACCACGTGAGATGCACACGGACAGAAGGGCAGCTCTGAAGGCGAGTCTCCTCCTCTCCATGAAAAATCCACGTCCCACGGTGCCGTCGGGTCCCTTCTGGCTGCCGTGGTGCCAAAGTGCGTTCCCTACGGCAGCCAGCCACAGTGACAGCTGGGTGGCCTTCTTAATCTCCTTCAAGGACTCCACTAATTAGCAAGTGTTACTCTGCTGGGTGAGGAGGTACAGTTATCCCAGGTGTGGGTGCAGCTTGAGCCCCAACACTGCTGCTATTTTGCTTTCCAGTGAAATCAAGTCGGACCCTGCCTCAGCTGTCAGGGAACAGCCCTGGGCAGGTCGGGGGACCCTGTACCTTGTCAGCGGGAGACCAGGCACAAGAGCTCTTGGGGGCTTAGGCCAAAAGTTGACTTCAAGGAGCAGAAGCTAATTATGGTTGTGCTAAAGCAGTGGCAGATAAACAAACCAGAGGTCAAACCACAAGCGCAGGGCCCATAGCATGAGGCTCGGCCTCTCCTGCTCCCTACACAACACGTAGAGGTTGCTGCGCTGGTCGCTGAGCAAGGAGCGGACTTGGCCGTCTGTCAAGCAAGCTCTTGGCAGCCCCGTTAGCTGCGTTGGCAATGGAGCCGAACCGCACGCTACAGCGGCCGGAGCAAAGGCAGTGCCTTGTCCAGCAGCGCTTGCCGAGACCCTGCGGCCGGGCACTGGGCGAGAGGAACGCGGGAGGACTTGCAATTCTTACACCAAGAGCACAGTGGTCTCAGTAGGAACCGTCCCACAGCCGAAACTGGAGAAAGAAGCGAGCTGAGTAGCAGCAAAACATCTTCCCTGTTTATTTGCAAGAAACATTTTGTTTAAAAAAATTACTTTTAGTCTTGATCCAAGTAACACTGCAATCAACAAACATTGTTAAACCAAAAGTTCAGACAGGTTGGGCAGTCCCCGCTACACAGAAGGATGAAGAAAAGATTTAAGAGCAAACTGTTTTAAAACTAGAATGCAACGTTTGCCTCAAACATCTTAACCAGTGTTTGAATATGTTAAAGAAGAAAACAAAATCAAGTGAAGCTGATGGTTCATCTAACAGATGTCTCAGCTTTTAACTTCCACACATGGGTAACTTGTAGCCAGTGTCTCTAATTGTGAAATCATAATGCATAGCAATGCAGAAACCTTCCTGAGCAAGGTCAGCCCTGCTCATGGTGCTCGGGTAACAAACCGGCGGCGGTATTAGTTACTCCACGGGAGAGGAGGAGAGGGTGGCAAGGGATTTCAAACGAAACGCGTTTGCTCTGTGTGCACACACCTTGGGAGAGGTCTGCGTTAACGGCGCGCTAAAAGCAGGCAGCCTGCCCCATCCCCTGCGTCAGGGGGCTCCTACGCTGGGCCAAAAGTTACTGGGAGGATCTCCTCGCCTCCCACGAGGCCGGGCTGCGGTTGCTGCATGCCCCTGTTTCTTGCAGCCCTGTGAAGGCGAGGGCTCAGCGGCACCAAGGGTTAACCCGTGGAGCGAGGAAGAGGGCTGCACAGCCGGGGAATGCTAATGGGAGCCAGAAGTCTAAGGGGAGCTTGCGCTATGCTCTGTCACAAACCTGCACTCGGCGATGACAAATGACTAACGAGCGAGGAAGCCGTCCTAACCGAGCCGCTCGGCATGGAGGGAACAGCACAGCCCACCGCAAAATCCAGCCTGACTAAAGCACCCCAGCCCAACGTTTGTTACCCCACAGTGAAACGTAAGGATGAAGAAAAGAACCTCGGCTAAACAAAGGTGTTGGCGGTAACAGCTGCACAGATTTTAATTCCCTCTTCCGTAACAAGAGGCCACGCTTGCTTGAAAGCACGCTCTGTGTCTCCTGTGAGGGGTACTGATCTCTGCAGCAACGAACGCCCGACGGCTGAACCACCGCACCCAGGCCCCATCTGCCGCAGGGGGCCCTCCCCGGGAGGGGCAGGAGCAAAGGGCTCAAAAAGCACAAGCCCCAAGGACGAGAATCAGCGAGAGTCCCACAGCTCTCCCCTAACATCACAAAATGCTTTCAGGCACAGTCTCAGGATCACATCTGGTCAATCCCTGCAGCTTCAAAACCTCATTTTCTCATAGTTCGTCCCTCTTAATCCAAACGAAGGGAAATGCATCAGATGGTGGCATCACCCAAGGGTTAAGCACCCAGCCATCGTCCAGCTCGCAGCTGCAGCCAGCACTGGGCTGTGCCCCGTCGAGGCACGCCACGGGGAGCATCCCCGTGTCAGCCGTCCCCGTGTGTGGTCCCAGGCGGGCTCGGAGGGAAGGAGCCGCCGGGAGAGCGGGTGCAGGAGCAGCCCGGGAAGGGGAAGCCTGGCTCAGATCACCAGCTGCGCGGGAGACAGACGAGCTGGAGGGTGGCCCGTGCCGTGACGCAGGCAAGCGAGAGGCAAACCCCGTGCCCGGTGGAGTCGGGAGGGCAGGAGGCTAATGCTCGAGGGAGCAGCAGGCTCCAGCGCTGGTGCCTGAGGAAGACAGCTGATTGCCCAGAAAAATAAACTTAGCAGCAGCCATGACTACATTCAGCGAGGGAACATTCCCTCGCATTCAATAATATTTAATCTTCATCTAGCTCAACACAAATCAGTAGTGCAGCAATATAAATACAACCGAGGAAGTTAAAGCCTTTTGGCTTTCATAGCTCAAAAAAAAAGCCAACGAAACAAATTTCCAGTTTTTAAATTAAACACAAAGAAAGGCAATAAACTGCCCACCCATCCACAGAGGAGCAGTGGCAACCTTCATGCCAGCAAGAGGCTGATTTCTGCCCGAGGACAGGGGTGCAACTCATGAAAGCAGCACAGTGAGCTAAAGGAGCGGGTATGGGAAAGGATGGCCACACGCCTGCCCAGAGCCCAGGCGGCAGAGACACGCGGCCGCTTGGCTGCTGGCACTCACTGTGCGATGCCCTCGGGTACCGAGAGTTCCCTTTTCCACCGACTAAAGGACACCGAGGGTGTACTTCGCACTGCGTTAGGAGCACACAGGGCTCCTCAGCCATAACAACGCGGCCACTAAGCTGCCAGCCAAAGGGAGCAGCCAGCTGCTGGGAACTGAAGATATCAACCCCCTGTTTGCCTGGGTTGTGCAAATTTTAAGGAAAAAACCAAAACCCCACAGTATATAGCGTTTCGTAACTGAAATATGGTCAATGTCCAGGCTCAAGGACGGCTTGGCAACCAACAGAAGGTGCTGGGGCCACTGAACAATATCTCACAGCTTTGGAATTAAGCCAGACATTAGACACAGGTACCAAAGGTGGGTGTCCCCTCCCAGCTCTGGTACCCAGCAGGAGAGCTTGCTGCAGGAGGGGGGTCTCCTAGCCCAGCCAATTACCACTGACAGGTCAGTTTTTCACATTTGATCAAGCACCATGTCATCAACACTCCCAGTGAGAAAAGCCTGACAGTAATTTAGAACAGCTACAAAACCCCCTCCTACCTGCAAGCTGATGGAGTGTGACCACAGTGTTTAGATTCCCCCTCCTCTACACTCCAAAATCAGCCAAGTGCACGTGAAAGGACAAGTCTAAATTAAAATAGTGCTTAAACCATTAGGGAAGGTGGGAGTGAAAGAGAAGCAAGCTGTTCAACAGCAAAAGTAGCCCATGGTAGGCTACTGGAGCCTGAAGGGAGCTCAGGACACAGCTCAAAGCACAGCCTTGACCTTCCTTCTCTGAGGAGCTCCCAAGGCAAGCGAGCTGGAAGTCCATGGGTGTTTCCTCCAGTGCAGTCTGACGTGGGCTAGGAGGGTCCTGCACATTCACAGTTGCTCCAAGTGGTTCTGTCCTGTTGGTCTCCAGATGCCAGCTCTGTCCTTTTCTGATGCTTCGCCTGGGGTTCACAGTTGCCTTCTCCTCCCTTTGATTTCCCTTGAAGTTCAAATTCAAGTACAACCAGTTTCAACTGAATGAAAAAAACCCACAAAACCAAAGTTATTTTCTGTGAAACAAGTTAGCAGCGTTGTCCTAATCAAACTGGGCTGTTAGCCCTTGTAGGATAGGGCTGGGAGTGGCCTTTCCCACTGAGCTCCAGCAAAAGGCCACCTGAGGGGATCTATAGGATTTCCTCCCTCTGGTTCTTGGGTTTGAGCATCACTTGTCCATTGCGCAAGGAGCCATTCTGGCTACGGAGCAGTTTCCCTTTTTCACGGTCAGGCCACGTGAAGATGGCTTCATCGCTGTCCAGTTCAGACTCTGAGTGCATCAGGCTGGTGTTGAGGACCTGGGATTTCTGTCTGCCACCTTTGAAGGAGAGAGTTTCCCAGGTTAAAACTACTTTTAATACTTGTCAGCCACCTCACCTTACTCGATTCCCTCTAAGTTTCCTTTTGCGGTCATGTCAAAGGGGCAGCCTAATCAGACTTTCCCGTGTCTGTCACTTACTCCTTCAAATGCTGAAGCCAAAGCGATCCTGTTTCAGATACTCCGGTGTGACAGGGGTCACACAGACACTTCAAAACAGTGCGAAGCACAACAAACAGGTAGAAAAGCAAATTACATTGCCAGAAGGGGCTGTGAGTATACGTGGGAGCTTTGTCTCCTGACCTTGCTCAGGGCATTGCCTAGAAATCTCTCTGAAGACCAAGGGCTGTAGTAAAGAGAATATGCAGGTGTGAAAGATCGCTGTGTTCTTACTACCCTCCCTACTCTCATCTCTGCTTCTCTTGCCTGCAAGGGAAGAGAGATAAATTAGCGGGCTGAATTTAGATTAATGCACAAGGACAGGAGAGAGACGTTTACTGATATTGTCAGCAAAGGAAATACTTAAATTTAGCTTTTTCTTAATGGAGAAATGCAACATTTCCTCTGTTAGCAGAATGCTCCCTGGACATATCTAGCAGGGAAAAATACTTTAGTCAGCAGCCAGCCTTGGAAGAAGCAAGATGAGTTTAGTTACCAGAGAGCAAACGGTTGAGGCACATTTGCTACAGACTGCAGAACAATGAGCCCTTTATTTAACAGTGGGGCTCTTCTGTGTGAGGTGACAGATGGTCGGATTAAAGCAGAGTTGGGTGCTGAGGGAGGGAAAAACACCCGGTTTTTCTTCAAGGGTATCCATATTTGTGCAGTTGGGATGGCTGGGTTCTCAGAGGAATTGTCTGATCAGCTCTGTCGCTGCAATGCCCTCCAATGCTGTCGTTAGGCACTGTTCAATTTGCTGGAACACCATTAAGTGGGATAATACTAGGATGAGCAGTTATTTTCCACCAGCAAACAAGGATCAGGGACCATTTTCCACGCACAGTTAAAATAACCCCTCCTCTAAACAAAACCAGGATGCACACTCCTATTTGAAACACGTATTTCAGCAGCTAAAGCGCTCCCCAGCATTTGGTGAGGCTGGGCTTTACACATACTTTCCCACACTTCCCTCCTTTCCTGGTCAGTCAGCAGGTGATCACTGCTCGGTTCAGGTATCAGATACAATCGCAGCAAAAACGCCCCAGCCTGAAATAACTCGATGATCTTTGCAAAGCACCTGACAAGCACTCTCTAGGACAGCCACGCAGACAGCAAAATGCTGGCTAAGAACACTGAAGACAAATGACTGCCTTTCTGGAACGGGGCAATGGGCCTGTAGCCACACGGAGCACTGAGGACTTCATGGGTCTCCCCCCTAAGATAAGCATCTGCTTCCTGGAAAAGTCAGAGGATGAGCTAAAAACATGACACCTTCAGAGCCTGATGCTCACAAGGGCAAGAATCGGTAAATTTATAAACAAGTAATTTGCGGTGGGAGGGTAGGGGGACAGAAATAAACATCACGCTCTCCAGTCCATGAGTATTTTCAGGTTGCTTTCAGGTGTCCCTTTGCTTACTAGCCAAAGTCAATCAGTTTAGTGAAATGTTTAGTGACACTGAATTCATGCTTTGCTGTACAGCACGGCCAAGGCATTGCACATTGGCAAGAAGCAAACTACCAGAATCCAGTGGAAAACTTTAGAGCAAGACAAGTTATGGTCAAGACCCAGCTTTGGGCTTCCTGGATCAGGCCGGTCTGCACAGCTTACATGCATCCACTTACTACTTCTGTGATATGAAGTGGAGACATCAGGACCAGGACAGTTTCAGCCCCAATTTCTAAACCAAAGAGTTAGGTAACTTGGCTAAATACCCTGTATACAGATCTGAAACGAGCTCTTAGATCTTCTCAGACTTGTCTGTCAGTACCTAACATCACATTTGTTTCACTCTGTGATTTTAAGTCCAGTGAGGAAGAGTGTTCTTAGTCAGCATTCTGGAAACACTGAGCTCTTCCCTCTCATGTTTTACCTGCTTTGGGATTTGGTTTTAACTCCAAGCTTTCTTGATCCGTTGCATCCAAAATCTTGTATTTGCTTTTTCTTTTGGATTTTCCTTTTCGTCTGAAGGGAAAGAAAAGGAATTAAGAGGCAGTCCATTTCTAAAAAAGCCGGAAGAAAAAACAACTGTGATCTTCAAAGCTAGAGTACTCGCTTATTTCAGATTATATTAATCTCACAAAGCAAACCACGAAAAACATTGCTTTAGTTGCACATTTATAGGCTAATCCAAATCTTGCTTCTTAACTGAACCTAGAGTTCTAGGGCTTCAACATCTCCCTTGAAACACTGCGTGACAAAAACTAACATCCCAGGGCTAAGCAGACGACCTGCTGGGACGATGGCTTTGAATCTTTCACCTCCTAATGCAGCTACTTGGCCCTGAAGCACTGATACAGTGGGGGTTATGGCCTCAGTCCCACCTCTTGCAACAGCAGATCACCATCCAGGATAAGATTCCAAAGGCAACCACAATGACGAAAGATGCAATGATCACATACAGCACACTCCACTCTGAAAGCAAAACACCCCAGAGATAAAGACGTTTTGGCACCTCATACAGTTGACAGTGTGTGCTTTAGATGACTATTCTTGGTGAAGAACAAGAAAGGCCTGACCCTTTGCAGAATTAGGCAGCACCACTAACTCACCGATGGAAGCCAGAGGCTTGAGATCTAGTGTGCAGACTCACTGCACAAGGGCATTTTTCAATACAAAATTTGCTTTCCTGTGGCAGGAGAGCCTCTGTAGGGGCACGATAGAAAAGAGGTGTGATTTATACACCAAGAATGGACTCAACTCTTAGCAAGTGTTTACTGAGAGGGTCTGAAGAGGAGTCACTTCCCTATCAAATACCACCTGCCTAGAAGGTAAGTGTAGTGGGACAGGGCAGGGACTATATCCTTGTGTGAGCGCCGTGTCAGAGATACTGGGAGAAAGCAGGTACCTGTTACTCTGCCTACCATGGGTTTCAAATGCTGTTTGCTTTCCAAAGATGAACAATCCCAGGGAGGCTGCACGTACCACAGTTGCTTTCGCCATCCCCCATCTGCACCCTGATGAAGTTCTCCATCCAGAACGGGTCACAGACGCAACGCTTGGTGAAGGAGTCACAGCGTCCATGCTCAGAGCAGTTCAGCTGACATGCTAGGGATCAAAACCAGCAAGGTAAACTAAATGACTCGCACGTGGGGCAAAAATGGGACAGTATAGCTCAGTACGGCCAACCCCTGTAGGCTCCAACTTGCATCTAGTCACTCTAGCTCATCCATAGCTTTGCTGCGATCACAAGCAGTTAAGAAGTGCAAGTGTAAGCATCCAGGTCTCATGCCAAACTAAAAAGTTCCACTTCACTAACAACATAAGACACATAACATGCTAAGAAAATTTTGCCTAATAAATCATGATTTTTTTTTAATATAAAGGTTAAGGAATTTGTATATTTGTTAAGTAAATGTTTTTAAATAAGGTTTTGGTTTTCAAATTCAAACCCAGCCCATGAGACAGACAAGAAACAAATAGATCCTTTAAATGGACCAAACAGAACTAAAGACTGGCTTTTGAAGGCCACAAAATTGTAACATCAGGAAGACATGAAAATAAACACATAATTCTATTTTAAAATACCTAACTGATCAGCAAGTGATCCTCATGGGATGGAGCTCATAGAAGAAAACCAGTGCTAATGTAAAGTTGTAAAAAAAAAAAAAATGATAGAAAGGAAACATTTCTTTCAGACTGATGTATGTGCCGCAGAAGAAACGAGTATGTTCACAGCTACCAAGATCTGCAGTTTTACTGTTTTCAGTATAACACTCATTCCATTGGCTGTATTCCATTAACACTACATTTTAGTTTCATAAGTGTCAATCTGGTTTTGATTTTGTGAATTCTTATCTTCCCAGCAACATTACAAGTAACCATTTATATGAACAGTGAATAGACAGAATCAGTTGGTAAATAACAGATTAATGTATAGTCTAACAGACTTAATTTTCTGTTTCCCATTTACTAACATATGAAAGCTACTGGGGTGAGCGTATGTGTGTGCACATGCATGTATTTTTAGCACACACAAAGGTCCTTACTCTGGCAGGCATCTGAGAAGGAGGGAGAAGTTGTTAACTTGTACCACAGTGATTCTTACTTACTGACTGTGTTAATTTCTAATGCCCGGAAGATGAGGAAGTCTGACTGTTGTTTCCGCAGTTCGTTTTTTAGTGTCCAGGCTACCTCTCGTCCTTTGAATATCTGATGAGGAGGCTGGTTCTGTACAAAAAACACCATCTTCGTGCTGGAAGTCAGACAAAAATGATTATCTGCCGCTTCTCCAAACATCAGCTAGAGAGTCATTCTCCCCAGTCTGTCATTAGAGGGACTTATCCAGAATCCCAAATTTATTTGAAGACTAGACTTCTGGCTCCATCTTGAAAGCAATAATGGTAGACCTGGTCATACAGCAGAAAACCTTTCAGGACATCTGATCCATCTATATTTTCAAAGCTAGGGCTGGACTGTTCTTGAGTTTGCTAACGGTTTGCTAACCAAGCACATCTTTGCATGTTTATGCTAAGCGTGCAAATTCCCAAACTTTAAGATCCTCCCATTTTCATAATCTCCTCCCTCCCTCCCTCCCTGTGGGATCATTAAACCTTACTACACGTTGAACTTGGGGGCTCATTAAACTGCTCAGCACAGAGAAGACAGCAAAGGTTTACAGTCTTTTGCAAAGTTTAGTTTTAATGCGCCCAAGTGTTATAGCCAGAAAAAAGCACAGGTGTAGGAAGATACTGTATTCTGCATCTTTTATTGCATTAACTTTACAATAGAAGAACTTGCTCCCCTAGGCTTGCTAGCCTTGTAGAGCCCTGTGTATCCTTCAGATTCACAAAAGGATGTATGGATGTTTCAGATTTATTATTACCAGTAAGCCTACGAGTCAACAGGATATTAGTGAAGCCCTCAGAGTACATGAAAAAAACAGCAGTCAGGGGAAAAAGATCTTTTTTAAACAGTACAAGTTACTTTGATAGTTGAGGCATAAATGGGATCTTAAAGCCATCTGTCAGAAAATAATCTCTGCTCTTTTAGAACACTTCCCACTCTTTTGTCTACTTCATAAACATATAAACAGATGAAGCATTAATTACAAGAATCCCTTACTTGCCTTACTCAGTGAAGAACAGTGACAACTGGCCTGGCCATGGCAGAGACAGAAAGGTAGTATTACAACAGAAAGTGCTGGGTCTTCTGTTCCAAGCTCTTTAGGTTTACACGGACAATGAATTCTGATTTTACTGCTACAGCAGGCAACATGGACACGAAGGAATCGATACATTACTGAACTCAGGAAAGTGTGAAGTATAACTGCAGATTTATTGCTGACTTGCTGCATGACTTTAAACATGTCCCTTAAATCATCTTCAGTGCTTTATCTACCTTAATTTTTACTAAAAGTGGAGTAGTTTTAAGTGCAACATTGCATTTATTTCAACAGATTATGACTCTGCCCTTGATAAGCTTGCTGTTCTGCCACTCCCATGCATGTTCAGGCATCCTCAAACACACCTACAGTAATGATGGACTGCTGTTAGTACGGAGATATGTAAGCTGTTGCTGTGGCAATGCTACTGCACCAGCCACTGAAGTTTTCTGCAAAACTGAATTTCCCTGACCAGTCATTTGTGCAGAGGTGGAAAGCTGAACTCGGTCAGGTACTTTCATGCCAAAGTGGCATGGCCAGGATCCAGCTGGGTTGAACCATCCCTTGTATGACTTGCTGGTTACTGTACTTGGAGCTGAGCAACATTGTCCAGGCAGGCAATGTGACCCTGGCCTACAGCCCTGCCCGTAAGTAAACTTCCACTTGTTTAGAAGAGACCAGCTGTAGTTTATTGTAAGCTAAATAGCAATCAAAACCAAGTTATCTTTATCTCTTCAAATAAAAGTTATGTTGGTTTTCAACATTTTATTTTACATTAAATTGAAGCGGTTGTCTAGGCAGTAAAGCTGATGTAAAACTACTGAGTTAGCATGCAGGGCTACTGCTAAGGGGATTGCTACACCACCACTTCTGGTGTGGCATCCATGTTTCAGCAAACTACTCCTGTACCATGCCCCATTATTTCTCCAGTTATAAATCACAGATGTAGAACATCCTTCAGATAGTCTTCATAATTTACAAAACAAATAAAATTAGTCCTCATTTTACAGATTTGGGGGGCAAAGACATTAGCAGCAGCAAACAGCTTTCGAGGACAATGCACTGTCTCCAGAGGGGAAAGATACCCAAGACCTGCTTGGCATCACAACTTCTCTGACCTGAGCAAGCAGGAATATCAACTTTAAGCAACATCTACACACATTCCGATTGTCCAGTCTGCTTCCCAAGAGAAAACAGCCCTTGGTTTACTAAACCCTCAAGTGATCCCCCTCCATGTACACTGACAGACAAACCCTACCTTTGTTCAGTGTATGGCTGGATCTTTTGCACAGTAATGTCCGAGTCGAGGACCCCGAGCAGAACGCCTATTTGTCGGATGAACATACCCTTCTGCCTCTCGGTCAGCTGGCTGACATTAACATCCAGAATTATCTCCACAAGGTTATTTTTCCTAGGATCTAGTGAGAATGTAGATAATACAGATCTTTAGACCTTCTATTTAACAGTCTGGGTTCAAGTCAGGTTTCTAGTATCTTTCCAGAATGTTTCTGCTTTGAACACAAAATTACAGAATTGCGCTGTAGGAAGGGATACAAGTCTATGACTTTCACAGGTAAGCAGTAAGAGCCAGTCCCCAAGAACCACATCAAAATACAATCACATCCCCGAAAACTTTTCATTTTCACAGTTCTGAGCTGGACTAGACTACACATTTTAATCTTAGTACACTGTACCCAGACAAACAGAGGACTTGCTAGTGCACCGTATGCAGATGTGGTACAGCGCAAAAGCCAGACTCACCAGGTTTGACTTCCACTGTGGTCCTTTCCACATCACTCTCTCCTTTGGCATCTGTTACTCTGAGGTGGAATGTGTAGGTCCCTTCTACCAGATTAGACAGGAGAAGGACAGGATGATGGTCTGAATTATTTAAGACTTCCTGGAAGGCAGAGAAAAGCAAGTATTAGGAAACAAAGGATCAAACTAGCATGATATATCATCATACTTAAGGATATCACTACAAGGCAACAGGTGCAACAATGAGCTTTACGTTTCCTCCGGAGCTGTCAATGCTACCTTTCACTGACTTTTATGATGTTGCAGACTCTCATTTAAAAAAGAAACCTCACCCCAGCTGCAGGGCTCCCCTCATCCCGGGTCCACAAGTAGCTGACAATTCCCTTATCATCAGAGGACTTCGATCCATCCAACTCAGCTGTATTTGTGGGTAAGGTGATGACAACATTACCAGCAATCTTTGCAACGGGTGGCTTGTTTATCTCTAAGCAAACAGAAAGAAAGTAGTTGGAGAAAAATCTGGTAATACCTAATCAAAAACTACTGCATTAGATCTCCACTGTAACCCAGAAATCCCTATCTAACCCTGGGGGAAGAGAAGGAAAATTAAATACTGTGGGGTTGAGCTGAAGATACTGTTCCCCCAGAAAAGGGTAAACTCCTGACTTAGAAAAGGCCATTTCAGTGCTCTCCTCATTATTTTTCACTCATTCCTTACTCTTCTTGTGCCTCTGAACACAGGTTTTGCTGAACTGCTCAGAGATACCCTCTGTCTCGGGCAGCTCTGCTCACAGTTGGACACACCTTCTTTGACAATGACGTTGACTGAGCTTCGGCTCTGCAAATTCCTCTCATCTTTAACTGTCAGAGTAAACTCGTACGTCCCAACTTGAAGGCCTGTTACAGTGGCAATGCTGCTGTTGGCATTCTCCAGCTTGACACCATCTGGGCCCCTAACCAAAGCACAAGATGATCAGTTTAAACTTTGCATAGACCACAGGAGCTAGCCTCACACCAAACAGGAGGCTCAAGCTCAAGCAGAGTTTACAGGGATGCAAACAGACAGTTGCTTGGAAATACGGAGTCCATGACATGAAGCAAAATTATTTTCTCCAGTTACAGCAAGGTAATCAAAAGTGCAATAATCAGAACAAAAAGTATAATTTCTGGTGGTTTAGTAATTTGGTTATTTTTAAACTAGGGGATGACTGATACTAGCATTTAAGTAGGGTTTACAAAAAGCAGTACTTTCAGCAAAATTGGCTCGTGAACTGCACAATAAGCCAATTTTTTTTAAGAAAAGGTATAGAGTAAAAATAGTTCCTTCATTTATAAGACCTTTGCATTAGCAAACAGAAAAACCTATTGCAAGTTGCTCATAGGCTTTTTCCTGAATTCCCTAAAGCACTTCAAGGAATTTACAGTCTGAAGGCAAGCATGACAGTGAGAAGAGCACTGCTTCATTCAAACATAAAGCAAAAGCATCAAGTTAAAAGGCCTTGCTGTTGATTACAAGAGTCAGTCTCTTCATAAGACCAAGATTACATCACATTACACTGCTGTCAAACATGGTTGGTCTCCTTTACAAGCCACAACCACGCTGAGAATGGGAATCAGGCCTAAGGATGAAGGCAAAGCTATTTCTAATGCTCAAACAAAATTCCACCTCTCTCCAATTAAACATATATCCTTGTCTCATTCTAGTCACTGCTAAAGCTTGTCCGGCCCAATGTGACCAGGACTTAACGCAAGGGAGGTATGTGGGGGTGTGCCTTGTTTAAATGAAAGGCCCAGGTACTTGCATAAGAACAGTCTGGATTCTGGTGATACACACCGTGTTTTTTCCCAAAGAAAGGAGACTATCTTCTGGTCATCTGAGCTCTTGCTGCCATCTAGAGTGGTGCTGTCCACAGGAAGAGTTAATTCTTTATCTGGACCAGCATCTGCCTTTGGGGGCTTATTGTTCTCTGAAAAAGGATGCAATACTTTTCATACACATGCCATAAAAGGTGGAGCTTAAAACCCCAGCATTAAGAATTTTCTCCATGATCCCTAGTATATTTCTCGCCCACTATCTCAACCTTGTACTCAGAGAAAGTGAGGTTAAAAGCAGTTAAGAGTTCAGATCAGTGTTTCATTCACACATCTGCAATAAAATGAGAATGAAATCTCAGAGTTCTGATTTTTGCTCTCATTCTCTAAGTATTACTCTACTTTTCCTGCTCCTGCCCCAGGACCTAGCAATGTGGGCAGAGACAGCTTCTTGGAAATACAATCCTGCCATTAGAGTGGGATAACGTCAATTAGACTAAATCATGTAAAGTAAGAGAACAGCCTAGAAAGGCAGTATTCCCAGCAACTTACGTTTGTTCATTTATCAGCAATGTACCAGCCCAGAATGGTCCTAAATCAGAGCAGCTTTTCTGAAAGCAGCACAAAGCTACCCTAAGATCTAGAGTATGCTGACAGATTGATGCTCGCCTCTGACCCCTGGAATGGAAGTGGCAAAAGCAGCTGATGGCAGCTTACCTGGCTGGACTATCACAGTGACCTCTGCAGTGGACTGGTGCCCAGCAGAATCAGTCACTATTAGCTGGTAAGTGTAATCACCTTCTTGCATTGCAGAGAGCTGTAAGACTGGTGTCCTCACCCCCTTCGAGAAAACATATTCATATATTAAAAAGAATCCTTACACAGACAACGATAGACCAGAAGACTCTGCTTCTAACCCAACTATTATCAGCAGTTTCTAAGGGCTTATTACTAACGCCTGCTACAGGGCCAGAAGTCTGTGCCACTTAAGCATGCAAGGCACTTAAAGCTAAGTTTACGCACAGCAACAAGGACACTGTTGTGGACTGTAACAAGAGTAATGCCATACAGGTGTTCAGACCTTTCAAGATTCGATAGTTAGCAGCTCAAGCAAAACATCTGGGGAGCCCTGTGCAAACCATACACATTGTGAACTTGATTCATGGACTTTCTTATTCCATAAACTTGACAGTGGTAATAATCTTTAAAAGAAAAATGATGACATGGAAACAAGTTCCAGCTTTTACTGTTCAGGACTGAGGAATGTTTGGCCAGTATCAAAGTTTAGACTCCAATGTTCAACTCAAAGATCCAGTCCATTGTGTTTGCCCACCTTAGGAAGTGCATGACCTGGTTATCCTGTGCATTTAAATGCCATTCTGACTGATAGTTACCTAAAAGATCACACAGTCTGGCTTCCACACCTGCTGATAGCACTTAAGCATCCCTATTATACCATCATTGATTTAGCTATCACTCATGTTCCAAGGAGTCAGCAACTGAACAGAGAAAGAACGCACTTCTCCAGCAGCCACACAGGTTAAAGTGAGACACATGGGTGTGATCGAGTTGTGCTGAGACCTGTTGTATGGGACATCAGAATCCAAAGCCATCAAGCTCCCATCTCTCTCAATCCTCCATTCTTCAGCAGTATTTAAAACTGCATCGCTCAAGACAGGAAACAGGATGCCAGAGAAAACCTGTGGCTAGACTGGTGCACCAGCTCAGCCACTAAGCCAACACCAGCTTCACGTGCATCTAGTTTTAGGTATGTATTTAATCATCACATGCTTGCTCTGTAGGATAAGAGACATTTGCTAACAGTCCATTAAAAATGGTTTGATTACAGAAAAAAACGCCAGCTAGTGAGGAATCCAGGCTGAGTACTGGAGATCTGCACTGACCTGCATCTCCATCACCTTCCCTTTGCTGTTAGGGCTGAGCAGCCACTCATAGCTGACAATGCTGTGATCATCGGTGCTCTGATTCCCGTAGAGGGTGATGGAGTTCTGAGGCAGGGTGATCACTTGGTTTGGGCCTGCATTTGCCACTGGAGGATAATCCACTGCTTTGTTCACAGTCAAGTTTGCAGTGGTGGAGTTGCTGGCACCATCCGAGTCCACTACTGTTAGACTGAAGAGGAAAAAAAAAAAAATAGTGAAAGCAATGAAGAGTCACGATTATCAGTGCTGAATATAAAACATTGACTGGAGTTAACTGAAATGCAAGAGTTTGAAACTTAAGACGCTTTTAAGGACAGGATAGTAATTTTTTTCAGGAGTAAAAAACCCCTGTGGTTTGAGGCAACTGTGCTTTTTCTGAATAGAAACTTCCCCTAAATGCCCAATTATCAGCCCCAAAGCGATGCAAGACAATTCAACAGTCATGCTCACCTCTCACTTGAAATCTATGAACTAGTTCCAAGAGAAAAACCATGCTAGTGAAAGATTATCAGTTTTCACATATACAGTTGTGATGAAAAAGACTTCGAGTATGACACTGCCTCCCAACAGGAGACGTTCTTTAACACGGACACAAGAGTTCATTACTAATCCACAAGTGGCTGAACACAGTATGCCTCCTCAGGCAGGCTAGTACACCACAAAATAGAACTGCTTTTTACTAAACCTAGATCTGAACATCGATCTGATTAGTTCATATACCAACTGCTTAAGAGGTAAACAGTGTTCAGTTATAGGTACTCAGGTTTATTTTATTTTAAATAGAACTGCTGATGCAGTGCATTGACATCACACCAAAATGTAGACCAAAGAAAAAACACAGAACAAACATGAAAGTAAAATCAGCTACTATCTGTTATTCAATTTTGTGCATAAAACTGTTAGGCCTCATTCACTTATCTGCGATAAGCACATTGCACTTAAAAAGTGGATTTAAAGGCTGTATTTCTTCCTAAGCCTTTACCCAAACAGTTTCGATTTGACATTTCAAGAGACAGTTTGTAGCGCTGGCAGACCATTCATTCCCTTCTGCCATCATCTTAAACCAGTGCTACAACTTAAGAATAAAGAGTAGCTGGATAGCTTATCTCTTCTGAAGTGAAAAGCTATGAAATTACCTGAAAGCACAGGAGTGGAGAGAGAGTACATCGCAAAATAGAGTTCTCCCCCTGTTGGTTTTGGGTTTTTTTTTGTTGTTGGTTTTGGGTTTTTTTTGGTCAGGTTTTTTGTTGCTTCTGTTTTTTGTTTTTAAATTGACTAATACTTCAGGAGTCTTGTACATTTTACTCTTAAGGGATGAGAACTGATCAACTCTTCCAGGTATAACCTACCTGAATGTGTAATTCCCAGGTACCAGGTTGGTCAGCGTCAATATGGCAGTATCACTAGAAACTTTCTCCTCCCGCAAAGGACCCTTCAGTTCTTCCCAGTGATAGCTGACAATTTTATCATCATCAGTGCTTTCTGTTTCAATTACAGAAGAAAATGCACATACAAGGAGTTGGAAAATCCTGCTTCACAAACCCCAGATGTTCAGTCCCCTACTTCAGTACTGGGCTTAGTGGGCAAAGACATTTTTCATCCAAGCCCAGATGCCTCTACTACGCTCAGATACCCAAACTCTCCTCTACCCTGTTTCGCAGGTATACTTGACCACCCTTAATCCCAGGTTTGATGTGTGCTGGAGGAAGACAAAAAAACCAATCAAACAAACCAAAACACTAACAAAATAATACTAGCTGGAGTAAGACAACCTGAACATACTCAAAGAAACTCCTGAAAAGTTCTGGTGAGGGCCAGGATCAGTAGAGGTGGTGTGTTAGCTAACTAATACATCTGAAGCTTAATGCAAGAGGCCAGTAATTTTGACTGACAGTAATTTTTTTTATTCTAAGCAGCAAACTCCAGAGCTTCTCCTTTTTTAGGAGATTCATTCAGGCCAGTGCCCTTCAAAAGGAAACATGGAGAGGTGCTATCAATGTGTGTATTCCCCTCTCCTGGCAAGAGAGGCCGATTCTTCTCACTAAAGTGTGTTTGATAGCATCAGAGCCAGTTCCTCTTAAACTTCATCCAAAGGGCCAGCCCAGAACCAAACACACAGAAACCAGGCTTGCTAGACTACTGCATTTAAATCTGCAGGTACTCACGGCTGCCATCAATAACAGTTGAAATGGTTGGCAGTGAAATCTCCTGGAACTGTGGGGACACGATGGCAACAGGAGGCTGATTCACTCGAGGCTCTGCAACAATAACCGAGCTGTTACAATGACATCTACAGGCAGATCATGATAAAAAGCCCTGGCCAAGGAACTCTGCAGAACTTCTCTGCCTTTTTGCGCCAAGAGTAGCAAGCAGAATACATATTGCGCATCCTCTTCCCTCTCCCCAGCCCCGTCTAACCCCCTCAGTCCTGTAGCCAGCGAGTCCAGGAGAGGAGTCCAAAGTGTGGAATTGCTGTGCCACGCAGTTCCGAGACAGCCACCGATCAGACTGACTGCAGAGGACTGCACAATCAACAACAGTGATTTGTGCTTTCAGCAACTTATATGCCAATTTGGGAAATCAGTGCTAAAAAAAGGGACTTAAAAAAGCAAGGATGTGAACTGCCACCACACTAGTACTCTGGAAATGGCTGCACCACACCAGTTCTCCCATACTGGGTCACGCATTCAAGCACAGACCACTCTAACAGAGCAGGACCTACAGCTTCTTGCCAAAGTTGGGCCGCTGCTCTGAAATATGAATGATTTTGATGCATGCTGCCAGCTGTAGACTCACTGTTTATAAGGAAATGATCAGCAACAGCATCCAGAAGGCCAGCTACACACTCTAGCTACTTTAGGGATTGCAAGAGCACTTCTTTGCCCACAAAGGCTGTAGAAAAAGTCTTGCTGAAGTGTGCAAAATAAAGGGGTTTTTTTTGCATAAAAGGAGATGCAGAGCCTGTGGTTGCCTCTTCACACAGGCCATCTAAAAAGTGAGACCTGGCGAGACAGCATAAGCTACTGTATCTACACCAGCTCACCTGCAAACCATGTCTTACAGTAAGGAATGAGATTTGACTTAACCTGCCTGTGGTTGGGAATGATATTCTTTACTGGACAGGGAGGAAAAGAACCTCCAAAGGAGCTTCAAAGCTCTGGTTTCCCTTCATTTTTTGCTCCTGCTGCTATAAGCTTTTTACCAGGTTACAGCTGGTTTTTATTGACCTTCCAGGGTGAGGCATTTGCTAAGCACTTTTGTATCCGCATTCCAGCTCTTTTATTGAGTGGCTGGCCTGTATGCAGTATAGCAGAAATGGCTATGTGTTAGCCGTAGTTTCACATCTCAGGAAATACCTTAACACACGTACATATATACTGAGTTCACAGCACAGCAAATTTTCACTATGTTAAACCAGGGTCCAGTCAAATAAGCAAAACACCATGATACAGGTATCATGGTTTTTCAGGGACAGATGAAGTTAAGAAAAGATAAAATTCCACGAACTCACTTGGATTCACTGTTACATTCACATAACCCTCTCCACGTGCGTTTTCCCCATCAACAACGACTTTGAATTCATACAGACCAACAGTAAGCTGGAAGTAAACACAAAAGATTATTTACCTTCAGGATGGTAGCACCTTGTCAGGAGCTATGAGAATGTCAAGTTACCATGCTTCGGCACAGTAGCACATTAGCAGCATAAAACACAAGCAACTATGCTTCAGCCTATGCACACACAGCAAAGGATGGTTTCCACGCCAAAATCGTATTACATATCTTTTAGTTTACAATGGCTATGCAGAAACCAAAGATGGATATTTCTTTCTACCACAGGTGGCACAGGATTGTCAGTCAAGCTCTTTTTTCTAGCAACAATAGGCAAAGAGGACAGGTAACAGATTAGTTCAGGTTGTCTGGCCACAGGAATCTGGACTAGCAGATTGCATTTGAGATCAGAAAGGCTGCATGTAAAAGAAGAAAATCTCATTTTGCGTGTTTTTATAAAGGAAAGTATTTCTTCTCTTCCATCTAGATGACATGAGTCAGGCAGTCACCCCTTCATCATTCACTGTTGAACCAAACGGAGAAGGTGGAGAACTAGGTGCTGGACAACAATCACGATATCCAAAAGGCTGACACCCTGACAGAGACAGACACGCTCCTTTCGAAGAGCTTTTCTCTGCATGATATCATTACTAAAGCCCGTAGATTTTTTCTGAGTGCAGCAGAATCCCAGATGCTCAAAGGAATGCCTCATAAACACAGAACTGTATATTCACACAATATTTAAAGCTGTTTCCTTGTTAAGAATCCCTATGTGCAGAAACCAGCAATCCTTTCACTGTTAGAGCTTGCCTAAAAGCAGCAGCCAGGGACATGCTACAAGGTACTCCACAGCTCTTGTTAATGGAATCAGCAAGTCCCTTTTCCAGCGAGTAGACCAAGGCTTCAGACCTGAATAGACCACCACACTGTTTCAGTAGCAGAAATACTCACAACCCTTTGTTAATGTTAAATTGTGCCATTCATATGGCTTGACACACTGCTTGTAGGCAGCTTTCGGATCCTGAAATCAATTTCTTCTTTCCCTCATGCCAGATCAATCTCCTTTTTATAAGAGACTTAGAAGAGGGCTTGCAGTCAAATGTTGGCTGCCTGCCCATCATGCAATTTCCTATTCATCCTGAAATCACATACAAGTCTTTCCTGGCTGCCAGTGTCCACATCTTCTCCACTTGGCATTTAACACAATAGGATACAAAGCTGCAAAAGCTTTACCTTAGATAACTTAAGGGTCTGGGAGTGCTTCCCTTCCATTTCTCCACTGTAGTCTTTTGGATGAGTAATCAATTCCCACTCATAGGAATAAGTGGTTCCTTAAAAAACAAAAAGGTCCAGACATTTGTTTTTAAAAGACTGCCTTTCTGCCAGGCTAAAGAAAAGCAAAGGTATTAAACATTCACAAGGCACATTCTGCTGCACTATGGAGAAATGAGACAGCTTGGAGTTTGGGCTGCAGCTTTTTGGGAATATACCCAGGAAGAGAGACAATCTGTGCTTCCAAACACATTTACTCTGGAGCCAAAACCCATCTTTCAGCCTCTAAGGCATTAAAGAGCTTTGGAACGATCACAGCTCCAGGATAAGAAGAGAAAAGTCTTATCATGCCCTCAAATCCTGCAGACACAACATAACGCCAGTTTTTGAACAGGAATGCATCTATCCCTGTTGCTGCACAACATGTAACATGCTTGCCTCTCCTCTGCAGTCTACACTGCCGTTCTGGACAGAGCTACAGATAAGAACTTTACAAATACCTGGGAACAGTTTGCATGATGAAATAAGGAGTGTATAGAACTGTGTTCCTCAGCATGTCAACCCCCTCAAATCAGATTTCAATCCACCAAATGAGAGATCACTTGCTAAGACAGCTTGTCACCTATCAGCAAATATCATTAATAGATGCTGAAGATCCACTGCTTCCTCACATACCACTTTGAAAATATGCCATCTCCCAGATCTAATGACTTTGTAGCACTTTCAACGTTTTTTGTGTCTTGCTATTTTCTGTGAGAGGTAGCATGAGGTAATAGCATAGGATGAAAAATTTCTACAGAAAAGCATTCTCTGACAAAAGACATTTTCAAGATTGTCCTTATTTAGTGCCGTGTATATAATGCCTATTTGCCATTTCACCATCACAAGCCCTTAGCAGAATTCCCAGGGAAGCCTAATAGCATACTGTTCTGTAGAAATAGCAAAAATTTCTACAGAAAAGCATTCTCTGACAAAAGACATTTTCAAGATTGTCCTTATTTAGTGCCGTGTATATAATGCCTATTTGCCATTTCACCATCACAAGCCCTTAGCAGAATTCCCAGGGAAGCCTTACGAGGTGGTGGTTCAGGAAGCACAAACGCATTCAGCTGAACTTCATTCTTTGGCAGGGTCACTTCGACGCTGTCTCCAGCAGAAACTACTAGCTCCTTCATAACTGAGGGAGAAACACAGAATTGAAAGAGGAACAGGAAAAAGAACTAAATACATACATAAAAACTGTCTTGGTTTCAGAGTCAATACAAATGGCTGTATTTTGTAAACATCTCATCACTCAATATAGCTCCCGTTTCAGGTTTCGCTCTCCTTGTTAATACAAAAGCACTAATGGGGTTTTACAATTTTAAAACAAGCCCAAAATTACTCAGTCATCTCTCTCTCTTCGCAGATACTGTGCAGGTCCCGCTCCTTTTCTAAAGAGCTGAAACGTGACCCTCGGGCCCTGTACAGGGGAATCTATTCACCCAGGTCCAGCACGATGGGAAGGGTTTTACCTGACAGGTTTTCAGCCGAGAACCCAGCTGCAGTGTCATGGCACAGCAAGACAAACACTGCTATTTACCAAACTGCAATTTCAGTTCTTCACAAATATATGAAGAATCCACGGTATTTCTTTTCTGAAAAACTGCTTGGGGGCTAAGAGATTTTTTTTTTAAAACTGCATAGCTACCACACTGAGTATGGAAACTCAAAATACAAACCTGTTCCTTTCATTTATATTTTCTTTTCAACCCCTGCTTAAGAATTTTCTTGCCATTCCATTTCAAATAAACTGACAGGTAGCTTGTTTTTAAAGACTACAGGATAAAGACTTGAAAACTATGGCCGGTGACATTTTTTTTCTGCTTCTTATTAGCATTAAGGTAACCAGAAAGTTAACTGCATTTCTTAAGAGTACCTCTTGGCCTCCTCATCCTCCTCTTCCCTTCCCGTTTGCTTTACTTTTGTCTTTTTATTATTGGGCCTGGGAATTATGCACAGAAAGCAAGAATTAAAGTTGCTTTACCCTAGTTTGACCCTGTCAAAGACAATGTTTCCGAGATATGCATAAAAAAATCCAAGTGAAAAAAAGATGGGGAAAATGGCATTAAACATTTTGCCTTTCTTCCATCTGTTTATCAGCTATTGGAACTAACGAGTTAACTAAAAGAAAACAAATCCATCAAATTCTTTTTTTCCCCTCTCTCAGTTACTCCAGATCTTGGGATATTATAACTCCATCAGTCTTTCAGCTGCAAAGAGTTCCAAGGCAAAAAGAAATCTGATCTCAGTAGGAAAAAAAACAAAAACCAAACAAACATACAAAAAAATCCAAAACCCTACTTGGAAAAAAATACCCTTCATGTAATTTTTGTATTATTTAGCAAAACAAGGAGGCCCTGGTTATGTTACTTTTCCAACACAAGCCACTGAAAATGTTTAAAATATATTTTCCAGTTTTAGCTGGGGTAAGCCCTTAAAAAGAATACTAACTTGTCAGCACAAGCATCCAATGAGCCTCCTGCCAAAAATACCTTTGGATGCAGCATTTCCTTTACACTTTCCATTTGTTCCCTTGTAAGGGAAAGGAACCCTAAACTCAAAAGAAATTCAGCTGTCAATACTTCTGCAAACTAGACCAACTGAAATCTGAGATATCAGACAACTAGTATACACCATTCACTGTACATACATATCCTTACAGGGTGAGCTAATGGCCTGGGCGAGTTAACAGAGCTGTCCAAAGTGCATTTTGGCTTTTATACGTTTTCAATAGTTTGTTTTTAAAAACACCAGTGTGAACAGAAACATAATTTTGCTGCAAAGTAAAGCATGGCCAAGTATACCATTCTCCATGGCTGAACTGTGCATTGACATTTCAGGGATTGAAAAGAAAAGAATCAGTTACATCCCATTTTGAGCAGACATTAAGATTTCTGCTCAACTTGATAGATAGCAGTATGTCAAGACTACTGAAAGAATGCTTCACGGGACTATGCCTTGCACCATGTCTCAACTTTCATTTTGGGAATTAAGAGATCACCGTTACTTTCAGGCTGTTCTTGGAAATCAATCCAATGGTCACATGCAGATTTATGATGCCAAAGTCCCATTCTCAGACCTCAGGAGCTAATGGGGTCCAACTGGCACGTGCGCTGAAGCATGTATCTCAGCGCTTTTTCAAACGTACCATAATTTCAGAAATTATCTCATATTCTTGAATGCTGCAACGGCTTGTCACCAAAACCTGAACAGATAACGTTTGCTGGAGTACTGCATGTTCTCACCTGGTGTGGTGGCAGTAGTACTTGGTGATGCAGCCGTGTTGGTCTGGATTGTAGAAACACTGCCATTTGTGGGAACTCCACTTGGCACAGAAGTAGCTGTCTGCATCTTCGGTGTGCTTTTTGCTGGTACGGGGCTGACTGTGGGCAACACATCTGAGGAGTGAGGATGGACCAAAGCATCATCTGGCTGCCCAGGCTTCTCAGTCTTCCCTGTGGCTGTCAAGCCCTGTGCTACAGGACTGGAGAATGTAGCCAACGCTGATGGTTCTGGTGCGGATGTTACTGTGTGGATCTGTAAAGGAAAAAGTTGTCTTAGTTTGACTTGAACACTGAATATCTGTTTTGTTTTACTGTGTTTAAGTTGCACTTCTCCTCCTACAGTTAGGGAGGCTGAAAAGTCCCTGGCTTGTTTTCTTAAAAGCAGGATGTTTTGCCGCTTCCTCTTCTGAATTGTTTCTTCGTGTTCTTCCTCCACAGCAGACAGGCCATTTCTAGCTCAGCTGAACACTGGTTAAGACCATAGATTTAACCACAGCATCTTAAGGACATTGGCTGTTTATATGGCAAACATGATAGAAGATCCAGGTTTAAAATTGCAGTGAGTGGAGCTAAGAGAACAGAGGTGGAGTAAGACAGAAGCAAAACACAGGGACCAGGAACTGGGGTTCAGTTGGGCTGTTTATTTTGGCCACATATTCCTTTTTCTAAAGCTGTGCAGTTGGCAAGCACAAAGCAGGAGGATTGCAATGGCATTTTTATGTAATAATCGAATCATTGTAGCAAGAGGAAATTTATTTCAGAATTACTCTTCAAAGCAAGGTGATCTGACAGAAACAGTTCCCTGCGTGCATGCCACAGGAGATGCTGCTGGGGCAGGGAGCTGAGCTTGTGGGCAGAAAGTGTGCTCACATCCATACAGGATGAGCCACTTTATTGAAAGCAATCAAAGTGGCAGAAACAATTTCCTTTCTTTCATCAGAAAATTCCTTTTACAGTACCTAGCCCCATTCCAGTTCTTAGTCTGCCAGGCAACACTCTTGACAATTTACCTTCCACCATGAAGTACATGTGTGTAGCACATTTTGTTGAGCTAACACTATTTTGAGAACACCTGCTAAATATTTAAAATGGAGCAATTTGCCATCTTTGACTTGGTAAGTGTGTTGGCTGAACTGCCCACCACTATCCCCCACTAGAGGAGCTGATCAAAAGCTCACATTGGGAGAAGCGTTCTCAAGCTTTTATACCACGCTGTTGGCATTCAGTCCAGGAAAGAGCAACTGGAAAAATCGCTCTAGACCACAGTGGGCAACATCCTGATCAGTAAATGGCTTCAGAAAAACATTAAACACCAGTTGTAAAAATAAAGCTGTGCTGCACATACTGAACAGCCAGCCAAGACAAGAGTAGCAATTAAGGTATTGAAGGCTTCTCCACAAGAAGGGTTTTTTTTTTTTGTAGTCTTGTGCAAGTAATTTCCTCTCCCCATATCTCAGCTACATTTCCCTCAGTCACAGAACTTAAAACATCTCAATTGATTTGCACGTTTGATTAACAGCTGAGCTGCATGGACCAAAGAATCAAACGCTATTTGTTTAGTGTTACAGACATAAGCTGTTTTTCTCTATCTGCTTACTTATTGATGGGCTTCCTTTAACAAAACTATGGATTCCTTGGAACAAAGATGCAGGCAAAATCTGGCATACCGCTCTGTGCTGCTCTTCATCAGCGGCCTCAGGACAACTGGCTGTCCCAAGCAGTATCTTCTTACACCCATTCATAACTCGGGTCAACTCAGGATACTGATTCCTTTTTACCACGTATGTAAATAAGATAAAGTTAGAAATGCTGGCACAAGAAGGGAACAGCCAGGCAGGAACTCAGACACTTGAGACAGACTCTTTAGGAAAGGCACAGGAGCAGAAACTCTCTGTGACTCTGTACCACTATGGGAAACCACTTTTTGCTTAGCAAGAATCAGCCTAGACCAGCCACAAGAACAGCTGTCACAAACATCACACAGGAGACCAGCATCTGCCCACTGGGCACAGTGGCCAAGTCTCCACTTTGCTTGGTAATATTTTCAGCAAGCCAGATGCTTCTTTGACTCACTTTCGAATGCCAAAAAAAAACACAAACAAACAAAGAAACCAAAACAAAACCAAACCCCAAAACTCTGCAGTTAGGAGATCTTCTTCCTCCCAGAAGTCTTCAGGATGAATTGACAGCCAAATGTCTGCAGAGAGCTTGAATTAGATAAGCTTTGCCTGGGGCAACGTAACAGTCAAAAATGCCTCTAATGCCTGCAAGCTGAGACATTTCTTATCTTTACTCCATAACCCTGAATTCTTTAAAGCAAAGAACAGAAGATTTCGTTCTTGGGGATAAATGAGGAGGAGACTAGAAGTCTGCCAGCTGTCCTATCTTATTAGCTTAGAAAATTGAGAGAAGTGGCATATTGGCCTGATTGAAAGTAGGAGTGTCAGACGCTTCTGATTACGACCCCTAACTGCCTTTGGCCTGGAACAAGTGACTTGGTCTCCCTGTCTGAGAGTCCTACATCTATAAGATGGAAATAGAGCAGCTATGTGCATCAGAATCCACATCGAACCTAAGTTACTTGAAAGAAAGATACCTGTGTTCTGGAATTTCCTTTTATTTTTTAATTTAGATGGACCTTACTTTGCTAAGCCTGGTCTGAATTTACAAAACAGGCTCTTTTCAGCTTAGATTGTGTCCTTAGTCATTCGCACGAGGTGCCATGTCTGCGAAGACCCTTAAGACACAAACACGTGGGTAATGTCACAAGCATTACAGAGAGACTGCTGGCTGTGAAGAGAGACCTTTCCTCCTTCCGCATAGGGTAAAAAGCACCCAGCACTGGCACGAAGCATGACAGCAAGAGTCAAACACTGGGCTTGCGAGGGCCAGCGGTAGCCAGAACTGCAAGTGCAGGAATGAGCTCTCTGGCCCTGCTGTGACAACGCCACTTCACAGGCTGCAGCCTTCCCAGTCTGCCTGCAGAGCTGCTGCAATGCTGCGGCAGCCCTTCTCATCAGCAGCGCTGCACTTAAATACTTCTCCCGATTGGCTATTAAATCATCGCTATATTTTAAAACTGACAAGTATTTCTACAATAAGGTAGAAAAAAATTGGTGCCTGGAAAATGTCACTCATTTTAATGGCAAAGCACAAATTTCTCTTCCTTAGTTAAGGGTGCACTGTGGTTTACCCTGGTACACCCTCCTTCACCCATCTCTAGTTCCATGGCATAGATACAGTAAAACCACAAATTAATGCTAGCTGCACATTAGCAAATGACATTGCAGATGGCTATGGAGCTATCAGAACTGCAAGGGGAAAATTAAAACTGAGTGAGAATGTTTTCCTAAAACTGCCACTGGACTTCTCCCTGAGTCTCTAGGAAAAGATTCGCCTTCCAGACATTCAATGGTCATCAACAGAAGAGGAGAATATGCACACTAGTTTCTTTCTCCCCTTTTAGAGAGGAGTTAAAGAGCCACTTTGACCTCATATGTCCTTTCCCACTTCAGACGTTTGATGCTCCCAGGTATGAACTGCTTTGCATGCAGTAATGATCCAGTATTCTCCTCACCTTCCAGCCCACCTGCCAAATTTTCTTAAATAATACAGTATTAAATGCACAGCACTCTGCTGCTGAGGCCATGTGCTCCATGTACCGGACCAAATCTAGCCCATGCTGATTTCAGCATGTGTGTAGCACTACTTATTTTGGCCCATAACCAGCCCAGCTTGGAAAATTCCCTGGTTTAGCATCTCCCTCCTGCAAAGGCTGGCCATGTCCCAAGTACACAGCCTTGAATGTTATATCCTTGGCCTAAATTAAACTGCTCTCAGATCAGAAATGCAAGGACAGCTGCATAGTTTGCCTTCTATTTTGCAGGTAAAAGTTGGATGGTTCAATAATCAAGGAATTAGCCCAGGGCTGGGTAGAACCAGCGTCAGCTCAAGATTCCTGTTAAGGTGGATTTTTTTAATTCTTTCTCCTCCTCAAAAAACTCTACCCTAAACCTCAAAAACATGACTGCCAGGAATTCCACCACAGACAATATATGTTAGTACGAAGTTTTTATTTTGATGAACCTGCGTTTTGTCAAGAGATACAGACCTTCCTCCTAGCAAAAACCAGTAAGGGGAAGAAAAACCTTTCCCCAGCATACATCCAACAGTGCACCTTAAAGACAACGGGAGCACTTCCTAAAGATGGGAAATCCTGGATACCCAGCAATATTCAGAAGCCAATTAATCCATGTAATTTAATACTTGCGTGCAGTTTACTGGACAGGCACTGAACACTAATAACGTGACAATGCAGAATGCAACACTGCAAACAGGGAGCTGTAACAAATACTACTTAAGAGCGACAGAAGACATTTAAGACTGGCTGCGAGGAAATCTCCCCAGACATTGCATGCATAACAACTGAGAGAATGGGGTCACTGTGTAAATCTCAAGTATTAGGAGAAGGAAAGAACAGGCCGGGTGGAAATGCTGCAGTACTGCAGCGGAGAGAGAAAGCTGAGATCTTGAGTCAGCCCTAAATGCTGTGGGGTTCTGGAAAATCAAACATTTGTAAAGTTTTAGTGCACGATTCCACGCGTCACCGGGGCTGCGCTGGAGCTCTGAGCAGTGTCCCTTGGCTGCTCTCCACATCCTGCTCTGCAGGGTGGTGGTTCAAACCAGCCACAGCCCTACCTGCAACCAAGATCCGAACACAAGGGAGAGAAACAAATTCAGTCAAGCTTCCAGAAGAAGAATGTAACTACAGGAAAAGGCATCAGGCTTCAACGGTGCCAAATGCTAGAAACACAGCAAAAGGTATTTAAGGAACAGTTTCACAAAGTAGAATTCTTTCTGTTTCACCATCATGAGTGCATGGGCTTTTTGTATGATAAGGCTCAAAAAACTATTTGCAGATTTAAAAATACAAACATCATTTAACAATTCAAACATGCCAATTTCTCTTTAACACCTAGACTTACCAGCTTAACATTGTACATGTTTGGAGCAGAGACTAAACTGGTTTCATTCAACCAGTGCCAATCTAAGCTTTTGTGGATTTGAGATCTGAAGCAGTCTTGAAAAACAGAACAAAAAAGTTGGCCTTAAGATGCCAACTCAAGCAAGCAGGCTGATATGACAGTACACTGGAAACTCTACACATAAGTCTATAAAATAACGTATTTAACCACTCCAATTCAGCACTCAAAGGAAAACAGCCTATTTTCTTTTGAGGATCTAAAAAGGTACTTTTACAGGTAACAGTTTTCAACTCCCAGGCACTTTCCACTGACATCACATCTCACCTTTCTTTCTCATCTGGCAAGTACGCTGCGTGATTATACAAAGGATAAGCATTATCATGATCTCCATCTCCCCTCACCTTCCCAAAGACAGTTTATCCCAGCTAGGAAGAAGGGATGGGGGGGGGGGTGTGTGCGGGTGGGGGGGGGGGGGGGAAGGGAACAACACAAACCTCTACCCCCAAAAAATCAAACAAAAAACCCCAACCCTTGGCCTTGCCTTGTTGACAAGGGGCTGAAAACAGGCATTCAGAAAGGCATCACTTAAGCAGTTTTAAGTCAAAGTCTACATAAAGCAAGACTGAGCAGGAGGGTGACAGCTATCCAAGGCAGCCCCATTTCAGCCCCAGCAATCACACTTACCTGTGGCAAGCCAACACCGTCTGTATCACTTGATCTGTTCACATTATTGCTTTTAGGAGGGAACGGGCTTTTGGTTTTCTGCTCTCTTGGATTCTGTCCATTTTTCAGTGAGTCTTTCTTTTGATTTGGATGGTCTTCAGGAACAGGCCTGTCTGCCACTAAGCGCCTCAGTACTTGATCCTTCAAGCGCTCTGCTTCACTTCGGCTGCCTCTAGATTTGCTGTCTGATGCTCTGGCTGCAGCCTCACCACTGGGGCTCGCTGTCATATCCCTTTTCAGGAGTTCCACCCTGTTACCTGCCAAGCTCCACTTCTGGAATGACCTCCGCAGTCTGTTTTTCCTCTGGACAGGGACACCCCAGTCTAACCACTTGTGAAACTGAGTCTTCACATCACCTTCTATTTGAAACTTTAATAAGTGCTCTGTGCTTTTTGATTTCTTTAAAAACACTAAAACAGAGTCAGAAAAGCCTGTTCTGTTTGCCTGACACATGCCAGGCACAGTGCAGTTCACCTGGATGCACATATTTTCCAAGAACCAAAAGGCATCACAGGTGGGGCTCTGGCAGCAAGCAGTCTGACAGGACCGTACAGTATGAAATCCTTCCAGAAGTTGTAAATGGTGATCTTTCCACGATCTCAAGCGGCCACCAAACAGGATCTTCCCTGGCTCACAGTTAGATCTGTTCCAGTTTGCATCTGGGAAAGGGGAGGGAAGACAAAGACAATTCTCAATCCTTTAAAGCAGTGGACAATAGATCCTTATCACTGTTGTCAAGATGAATTTAGGGCACAGGAGTAATGTGGGAGAGGGTACAGGACAGCAAAATGGGGGCTTGTCAGAATCTATACCTGGCCTCAGTATCCAGTACTTACACAAGATTTTAAGCAACAATCTGCACCTCCTACCAAAGGAACCACCACCCTTTTTGATAGTGATAGAGCTAAAGCCACCTACAGCAAAAGAAGTGAAAACAGAACTGTTTCTGTTTCAGAGAAGACTGTAAGGCACAGACTGAACAGAGAGGTTGAGGTTACACAGCAAGGTAAGAGTCAGAAACTGAACCCAGGAATCCTGAGTGCAGTTTCTTACTGCAAACAGTAAAGAGCACTGCCTCTCTCCTCACAGTTTGCCTTGAAGGAGAACTCTGGAAACAGTGACACTGGCTTGGTTCATAGTACGAAGGCATGTTTTCCTCTTCCATGCCGATGTTTGAGGTCGGTCACTTATATGGACTGGAATTGCTCCACTGGAGAAGCTGTTACATCTTCTAGTACAGAGGTCTGCAAGGCCCACCCTCGCCACCCGCTCTATCATAGTGCTTTCTACAACAGAAATTATGTCAAACTTTTTTTTTTTTTTAAGAGTCAGGTTACTTCAGATCTCAGATCAGTGGTAAAGCAGCAACCGCTTTGTATACGTTGGTTTTTTTTTTCCTTAGCATGAAAAATTAGTGTTTGCAGGGATCAATGGCTTAAAGGCTTCCAAAATTCAGAGCTCTGCAGATTAAGGACTCCCTAAAAATAGACTAATGACCTATGGAACTGTTACACTGTGCTGTGTTCCGCATCCAAGGGATAATAGGTCACTGTAAGATTACTTTACAAACTATGTCACTGGACTCTGAGTAGCGCAGCTGGACAATATGCTCCAGATCTGGCTCCCTGCCTGTCAAGAATGGAGTTATTGAACACAACACAAATGGGAAACTTTTTTCCCCTTTAAAATAAAGAAGTCTGAATTTAAATTACAATACCCTAATCCCCATTTCTTGACAGCATATAAAGAAAATTTCAGTAATACATTACTATTCCAGAAACTCTGAATGAATACAGACTTCATGTTGTATTATACCCACGGTCACTACAGTGGGAACTAAACAAATTAATAGGCATGGATGTAGAGGCTACTGATCCATCTGTCCGTCTCCCCTGAGAAGAATTCTCACCCCATTTCTCCTGTCACTTCCAAGTTACAAACACATTAAAGATGGAATATGTTGAGGCACAGGAAAAAGACCACACAGATCTCCCTGTCTCATCCACCAAATAAAAGTAATTTGGTGATGGCACTGCAGTGCATTTTATGATTCTTGGAAGAAATCATGCAAGGTCCCCGCTGCCCAGCACAACTCCAACAGCCCTGCTGAGCCACGGCAGGCTCACGTAGCAGGAAGCCTTCCAAGTGCTAGCCACGACACGGAAGTGCAGAGGGAGAGGTATTTTTCTGATCAAGTCTGGAGCTCACAAGCAGTGGTCAAACTCAGCCTTCTGAAGCACCAATCCTGGAAAACTCTGTGAGGCTAGGACAGTACAGATGGACACATACGTCTTCTGTCCACTCTGGCTGCTTTAGGCTACTTGAAGCATTTGACTTCCAGACTTCAAACTCCAGCCACAAAGGCACTTAACTTCACACTACTGAGATGGCAAGGAACTCTGAACTTCTGAATCACAGCTAATACCCAAAGTTAGTGATATCAAAGTGCTATCCCGCTCCCCATGTGCAGGAGGAAGGGGAAAGTCATAGCACTTTTATAACCTTGCATGACCTGGATAACCTTGTATGACTAAAGAAAGCAAGTAGGGAAGATGAAGGATGTATGTCATTGTAATTCAGTTATCCCAAACACCACAGTACGTGTAACAGCTTTTGCGCTCCTGATCATTAAAGGTATCCACATACAATGACTTTCTCACCCAGAATGGATTAGCCACTTGTTTAAAATGAAGGACAATGGTCATATTGACATACCTTTTGTGTGAAATCTCTTGCTACACCAAGAATTTCAACCCAAGAAGGGAACTCACACCACCATGAGGAAAAGTTTGGTTTTGAGACATCAAAGAACAGGAAACAAAAGCATTATTTACAGCTTATTGTGAAGCCAGCTCAGCAAAGGCAGTTTGAAGACAAGGCTCCAGAAAGCTAGCATCAGCCACAACAGAATACACTCAAGATCTGCAACCATGTTATGGGGGAACAGAGCTCCCTGTGGGTGTCTGAACCCACAACTGTGCAAAACGTGAGGAAGGTCGTCACTCGAGCAACGTCCAACTGCAACGTGCAAGTGAAACTTTGCATATGTTCAACAGAGAGAGAAGTTGACATCAGCACCTTTAAAATCATCACCATCCTTGTCACACTTCATCAACTCACGGCACTTCCTTCGAGAGCAAGCAGACGGGCAGCCTGTTCGCCTGGGGCAACAACCAACCTTATCACACTCCGAAGTGCTTGGACCAACAGTCACCCTGACACGACTGTGCACACAGGCAGGGACGAGCACCTGGCACTAACCTGATGGGCCTGGAATTAGGACAGAGTATGGGGGGGCGTATACACACAAAAGGTACACTCCAGACTTAGAGAAACAAGTAACACATGGAAGAATAACACTATTGCCGTGATTTTCAAGAAGATCTTACCCATTTCAGACTCAGTTTAGCCTAAAAAAAAAAAAATCCACTTTCTGTTAAAGGTGAAGCACTGTCCCAAATATATCCTGTGCAAAAGGGAAATGTGCTGCTTCCCACATCCCTAAAATCGCTTCTCCTCGACCACTGCTCATCCACCTCTCCTCAGATGTCAGCCCTGGCTCATACATACCACTCAAGTTAAGGCTCAATACAGAACCCAGTGAAATTCAGCAGCAGCTTTCTAGTAACAGGCTTAGAACTGGGGCACAAATAGAATGGGGAATATTTAAGAGAAAAGTGTTCCCAGGGAAGATATCCCTTGTGAAAAATCACTACATAACACAAGTATTATACTTATTCATCATCTAAAATGTAAAACTTGAATCCCCATAAGTATCTCCTAGGTATGCCAGAGCCATGACTTAGCCCAGATGACACAACACTACCATGCTGAGAGCATTCTGCTTCTCTATTAACCCACTGCTAAACCAAGATGCAGAGATTTTAATTATATTTTGGCCAGATTTCATTTCCAGAATTCTGCTAATGCCCGCCTAGGACACATTTATTTGAAATTAGCCAATATGGTTTCTGAATCGCTGTACATCGATAGCTTAAAGCTCAGTTCACTCTCAGAATGATAGAAGCGAACAGGTAACTCACAAAATGTCAGCCCAGTGTTCAAGATGTACATTTTCCACAGAACCATACTGATTTTCATCTAAGTAAGTCCCATGGTCTTTGGTGGGCATCACACATTCAGATAACTAAGTGCCATGGCAGAAAGCAGAGCTCCTCAGTCTACACTTCCGTTTCATTTCTGGAAAGATGAAAAATTTTCTGCCAGGAACATCCACCCAGCCTGTTCACAAAACACTTCCTTCCTGAGAGTCCTGCAGGAACACACTGTGGGTCCAACAAATTGTTGTGATGAGAAGCCACACATTGCTACTTGCAGTCTTGCAAACAGGGACCTCCACAGAATCTGGTGCAGCACCTGCACTAGGTGGACACAGACCTGCACCAGATGAGAGAAGGCAGCTGTGAGTACCAGCAGAGTTACTAACTCGTGCTTACTGAGAGAGCAGCCTGTTCAGTCCCTTCCACTTCCTTGCGCTGCACCCTATGCAACACACAGGGCAGTCACATACACGAACTCATAGGCCAGGTCAGATCTGCAGGCCAGAAATCCAGCCACTGACAGCATCAAGGCCAGCAGCTTCAGAGAAAAGCACAAGAAACTCGTCAGCAGGAGCATCCCTGAGGACAAGCTCCCTCCTAAGCCCCAGCAGCCTACCCAGTCTAGCACAACACAAATCACAAAACACCTGCACAGTGCTTAGTCACTTCTTAATGTTGTTTTTGTAATTTCTTTCTTCCCTAGTATATCAGTAGGAAAAAAAAAACCACTGCTCTTCTCAGGAACTTGGGAGTTCCTGTCCCGGTGATGCAGCTCACAGCTTTGCTGAACAGCAGGGGAATGGAATGGACAAGAACAGTTTCTATTAATAAGCTCAGGTTCAGAGACTTGCTCAGGCAGTTAATCCCTCCTGATATCAGATTAATGATTAAAGTCTTGACTCTGTAGGCCTTTTAAATCTGTCACATGTAACCAATTATGTCAACATAGTTCCTCTTGTGTAACTCCACGTGATCCCACCCATTTCTAGGCAGCCATAATTACTCCTTAGTTTAACAAACTCTGCTGCCTAAGTGACACAAACAAGACCAAAAGAACAAAAACCCTACAACGGAAAAAGCATCCACATCAGGATAACTATGTCATACATAATTGTATTTATTTCCACATACACATCGGTCCTCATGGTTCTAACTCTCCCAAGCAGACCAGCCCTCAAACACAGCAGTACTGTCCAGAACATCCTCTAAGAGCGAGATAGGATTCGCAGCTCTAGCTCTAGACTTCTAAGATATTACTGGAGACAGGAAACACTACACAGGAAGCCCAGTCTACAAGGAAACACACGACCCACCTGACACACCATCCAAACACACAGTGCTGAGAACCCTTTGCTAGGACCAGGAATACAGATAGGTCTTTCCAGGTTCTAAATTAGCTGACTAAGGGCACACAGCTCATTAGCTTAATCAAGCATCCTGGTAAGCATCCAGGAAGGGCCAGTGAAATGAGATGCTGCAGCAGCCTAAACATGTCCACATAACTGAGAAACAAAGCAAAACAACCCCCTTTTCAAGTCTTGCCACCACCAAGGCATACCAACCTTCCAGTAAAAAGAAAGCTGCTGGCAGCTGTCACACGGGTTGATATATACGGAGGTCACCACTGCCTCGAACCTATAATTCACTGCAACTTGAACAAAGAGGGGGAAAAAATGGCCCATAAACTTTCTTAACTAGGATCTGGTGAATGCTACATGCACACATGGGAAAAATACCACCTCTTGGTGAAGATGTGGCCTCAAAACACTCACAGGAACTTAACAAGTGTCTCTGAAAAATCAGAATCTGAACTTTAAAAAAAAACCAAACCCAAACATAATCCATTATATGGAAACTTCCATAGAAGCCACTAACTTGATTATTTACTTGAGCAGGTGGTTGGTTACTCAAGTTTGAACAGGAAATAAAAAACCAAACATAATAATTGCCTGTAGGCAAATACAGATTATTGACAGACTGAGTTTGGGGAGACTGTTAAACATTTGAGGACTAAAAAAAACATTCCTGCCTTCCCAACTTGTTTTGAGTATTCCTTAGATGAAATTATTTTCCAGATTATCACTTGATCCTTTTGCAAAAGAAAAGATTCTCAGCTCAGAGAAAGCTCTTTATGAGATACAGGCCTGAATGCCAGCACCGCGTGTGAAGAGCTATGGGACAGACAGACACCCTGCTGCTGACCACTTGCTTACTCAAAATAGCAGTTGGTTATCAGAACAAGACAGCATTATAAGGGAGGGACCCCTTCATGCCCCACATCTCTCCTACCCTTTTGACAACTACTAAGGGTGGGGTTTGGTTTGGTTTTTAAACCAGCTCCAATGTCGAGCAGCAAATAATTTCAGTTTCCTCTCAGAATATTTTTAACAAGTGAAAGAGACAAACATAATAAAAAATATAGATACAGTCCCAGAGAGAACAGAATAATCACCTGCTGAGGAGCACAAGGCACACAGGCAAGCACACAGGTAGAACAGCTGCAGACTTCTCAGCTCCCTTGCAGGTCTTCCCAGGCAATATCGCAACAGAAATCGGGCGCTAATGCTGAACTTGGCTTCCAGCCTCTTCTCCATGGCCTTTGTGGGCAGCAGCTGGGTTCTAGAAACATATAAGGTATGAAACACAAAACATGCACTGGCAGTTGATATGTTCTTGCACAGATCCAGTTGACACTACGAAGAGCACGGAGCATTTGAGGAGGAAAAGGAATGTCTTATCTACCTGCTGTGACTTAGTCTAGCTGCTGCTAAGTAACTATCAATGCATGCTACTAAAATGAAATCCGTAGTAGCAAAGTTTCCAGTGTTGAACTGCAGCAGGCCACCACAATGGCCTTCCCCATCACCCTCACCCTTGTGATGTCCTCCTCCACAGCCCACCACTTTCAGTGGCAAAACATCTAACATCACAGTCTACTGGGTTCCAGAGATGCATTTGGGAAATTTCAGTTTCAAATATGCCACATGCAATGGACACCCAGCCAGCACCACAAGTATAACACAGGCACTGATAAACCCAGCACATCTGCCTGGCGATGTCATCGCTTGCATGTTGGTGCTGGCTGGTACCAGCCAGAAACAAAGAGAAAAAAGAATACAGCAGTGCTGAGAAACATGGAGTTAGAGACCTGTTTTCCCTCACATTTTGCTCCGCAGGGCAGAGGTCACGAAAGCACTGATGCTCCTTCTCAGCCTTTCTAACGCCAAAGGCTCTTTTACAGCTTCGTATGTTACCGAAATCTAAATTAACTCTAGGTGATGTGATAGGAAAACATTAATTATTTCACTAGTAATAAATATTACCTATTTTTAAAGAGTAATGAAACACCATTGGGCAACAAGGAATTAAATCTGCCCTTTCTGAAGGATGGAAAGGGAATATTGTTACAGATCTGCCGGCCTCAGCACCCACCGTTTGTCAAACCTCCCGGGAATTTCACTCGGCCGCCCGGCAGCACGACCGTGAGCTGCAGGAGCGCCGAGAGGGGTGGGCACAGCAGGAAAATCTCATGATGGGAGATGTCAAACCGCGGCTCTTCAGCCAACAGGTCCCT